AGCAGCTTACAAACCGTGAACACTAACTGTAGTGTCTGCGATGCCTCTCGCCAGGTGTTTCGACCCCTCATCGCCGAGTTTGTCTCCACTGAGATACAGCTTTCTCAATTTCTGTGTAAAGACAATATTATACGTGAGACAACAGCATTCACATAGGGTATCTGCTCACTGTATTATTTCCAAGTACTGGAGCCAAGTGTCTCATACCTTCACTATTGAGTGTGCATTGTCCCAAATAAAGTTCAGTGATGTTCTAAAGAAAGACGTTGTTATAGAATCAGCAGCTTACAATTCGTGAACAGTAACTGTAGTGTCTGCGATGCCTCTCGCCAGGTGTTTCGCCCCCTCATCGCCGATGTTGTTTCCGTCAAGATTCAGGTTTCTGAATTTCTGTGCGAAGAAGAGATTATACATAACCCAATAATATTCACAGAGGGTGTGTGCTCACGGTATTATTTCGAAGTACTGGAATCAAGTCTCTCAGACCTTCATTGCTTAGTGTGCATTGCTTCAAAGAAAGTTCGGTGATGGTCTAGAGAAAGACATTGTTATAGAATCACTGGCTTACAAACCCTGAACACTAACTGTAGTGTCAGCGATACCTGTCGCCAGATGTTTCGCCCCATCATCGCCGATGTTGTTGCCATAAAGACTGAGCGTTGTCAATTGCTGTAGGAAGAACATATTCTAGGTGAGAGAATAGCATACCCAGTGGATGGGTGCTCTTGGTATTTTGTCGAAGCACTGGAATCAAGTGTCTCACACCTTCGCTGCTCAGTCCACATTTCCAGAGGTAAAGTTCAAGTATTCTCTAGAGAAAGACATTGTTATTGAGTCAGGAACTTACAAACTGTATACACTAACTGTTGTGCCTATCATGCCAATCCCCAGATGTTGTGCACCTACATCGCCGATATAATTTCCGCCTAGACACAGCTTTCTCAATTTCTGTGTAAGGAGAATATTATAGATGAGAGAATAGCATTCACATAGGGTATGTGCTCACGGTATTATTTCGAAGTACTGGAATCAAGTGTCTCACACCTTCATTGCTCAGTGTGCATTGCTTCAAATCAAGTTCAGCAATGTTCTAGAGAAAGTCATTTTTATAGAATCAGGAGCTTACAAACCGTGAAGCTTAACTGTTGTGTCTTCGAGGCCTCCCGCCAGCTGTACAGCACCTTCATCGTCGAGTGTGTTTTTTGGAGAGATTCAGCTTTGTCAATTTCTGTGTTAAGATCATATTATCAGTGAGAGAATAGCATTTACAGATGCTGTACGCTCACAGTATTATTTCGAAGTACTGGAATCAAGTGTCTCAGACCTTCATTGCTCAGTGTGGATTGTCCCAAATCAAGTTGAGTTATGTTCTAGAGAAAGACATTGCTTTAGAATCAGGAGGTTACAAACCGTGAACACTAACGGTGGTGTCTGCGATTCCTGTCGCTAGATGTTGTGCGCCTTCATCGCCGAGTGTGTTTCCGCCTAGATGCAGCTTTGTTAATTTCTGTGTTAAGAAGATAGATGAGAGAATAGCATTCACACAGGATGTGTGCTCACAGTGTTATTTTGAAGTATTAGGATCAACTGTCTCACACCTTCATTGGTTAGTGCACATTCACACAGATGAAGTGCAGTGATGTTCTAGAGAAAGACATTGCGATGGAATGAGGAACTTAGAAATCGTGAACACTAACTGTAGTGTCTACGATGGCTGTCGCCAGATGTTGCGCGCCTTCACCGCGGATGCTGTTTCCGTGAAGATCTAGTTTTGTCAATTTCTGTGGTAAGAAGATATTATTGGTGAGTGAATAGCATTCGCAGCTGGTGTGTGCTCACCGTGTTATTTCGAAGTACTAGAACCAAGTGTCTCACACCATCAGTGCTCAGTGTACATTGCCACAAAGAAAGTGCAGTCAGGTTCTAGAGAAAAACATTGTTATGGGCTCAAGAACTTGCAACCTATGAACACTAACTGTGGTGTCTTGGGTGCCTGTCGCCAAATGTTGCGCACCTGCATCGCCAATGTTGTTTCCGCCTAGACTCAGCATTGTCAATTTCTGTGCAAAGGCGATATTATAGGTGAGAGAATAGCAGTCACATTATATGTGCACTCACCGTATTATTTCGAAGTACTGAAATCAAGTGTCTCACACCATCATTGCTCAGTGAGCATTGCCACAAAGAAAGTTCAGTCAGGTTCTAGAGAAAGAGATTGTTATAGAATGAGGAACCTACAAACCGGGAACTCTAACTGTGGTGTCTGCTATCGCAGTCGCCAGATGTTGTGCACCTTCATCGCCGATGTTATTTCCACCTAGATTGAGCTTTGTCAAGTTCTGTGTGAAGATGATATTATAGGTGAGAGAATGGTATTCACATAGGGGGTGTGCTCACAGTATTATTTCGAAGTACTGGAATCAAGTGTCTCACACCATCATTGCTCAGTGTGCATTGCCACAAATGAAGTTCAGTCAGGTTCTAGAGAAAAATATTGTTATGGACTCAGGAAGTTGCAAACTATGAACACTAACTGTGGTGTCTTGGGTGCCTGTTGCCAAATGTTGTGCACCTGCATCGCCAATGTTGTTTCCGCTTAGACTCAGGATTGTCAATTTCTATGTAAAGGCGATATTATAGGTGAGCCAATAGCTGTCACATTGGATGTGCACTCACCGTATTATTTCGAAGTACTGGAATCAAGTGTCTCACACCTTCATTGCTCAGTGAGCATTGTCCCAAATAAAGTTCGGTGACGTTCTAGCGAAAAACATTGTTATGCAATGAAGAAGTTAGAAACCGTAAAACGCGAACTGTGGTGTCGGCGATACCGGTCGCCAGATGTTGCGTCCCCTCATCGCCGATGTTGTTTCCGTAAAGATTCAGCTTTGTCAATTGCTGTATGAAGAAGATTTTATAGGTGAGAAAATAGGATACAGAGTGGATGTGTGCTCACGGTATTATGTCGAAGTACTGGAATGAAGTCTTTCACACCTTCCTTGCTCAGTGAGCATTGTCACAAATAAAGTTCAGTGATGTTCTGAAGAAAGACATTGTTATAGAATCAGCAGCTTACAAACCGTGAACACTAACTGTAGTGTCTGCGATGCCTCTCGCCAAGTATTTCGCCCCCTCATCGCCGATGGTGTTTCCGTCAAGATTCACCTTTCTGAATTTCTGTGAGAAGAAGAGATTATAGATAAGAGAATAGTATTCACAAAGGGCGTGTGCTCACAGTGTTATTTTGAAGTACTGAAACCAAGTGTCTCACACCTTCGCTGCTCAGTGTGCATCGTCCCAAAGAAAGTTCAGTTATGTTCTAGAGATAGACATTGTTATAGAATCAGGAAGTTACGGACCGTGAATACTAACTGTCGTGTCTGCGATCGCTGTGGGGAGATATTGGGCACCTTCATCGCCGATGTTGTTTCCGTAAATATCCAGCTTGGTCAATTTCTTTATGAAAAAGATATTATAGATGAGAGAATAGCATTGGCAGAGGTGGGGCTGATGGTCGCTGGAGCCATGGGTTTTGTTTTGTTGCGTAGAAATCTATACGGCAATTGCAGCCGCACACACTCTTTATATTTTGATTATTTTTGTTGCTTAATCAGATTGAGAGCGGTTGATAACGTGATATTTTTGCGCTTGTCAGCGGGTTAGGGTGTGATAACTCTGTGACAAGCACTATGCCTGTTTAATTGAATACATCGTTTGCACTCGTAAAACTGAGAATTCCTTTTTATCATGATATGTCGATACGAAGCAGTCTTGATACTGAGGTGATAAAGACGTGGGAAAGTTGTTTTCAAACTGTCACTATGTAAATATTTATGTTTTGGTATTGTTGTTAAGAAAAACACTTGATTGTTTTTTTAGACTCCTAAAAAGTTCTAGCAAATATCGTCGATCTCATTGAGTTATTCTTTATTAACGTATGTAACTGAAATTCACTCACTCGAACAGATTGATTTGTACGAAGTAAAAGTTAACAGGAGCAGATGGTACAAAGTCGCAATAAGCATCTAATGATTTCTATGTTTACATATGATAGAAAGCTTTAAATCCCTTTCCCATTTTATTCACAGAAGATTAGAAAAAAATCAATGTGTTCCACGTGAAGGTTTACCATCGTTATAAAGAAATGTAAATAGTGATCGAGAGATTGAAGTATGTACTATTCAAAATTCATATAAAGGCGAAAATGAAACTTGATCTATTTCTTACCTGATTGCATGACAATATTGGAGCAAGCATCGCGATGCCTTTGTGCGTAATTTTGTTCTCCGACAGATCCAACCTTGTGATGTTTTTTCCAATAATCTCTTCTTGAATGATGCGTTCCATGTCTGCATCAGTCAAATTCATTCCTGATAAATTCACTTCTACAGGAACATTTTGTTGGGACCCCGACAGTTCTCTTAGGCGTTCAACTTGAACAGGTGTAACATTTGCCTGACAAGTTTGTTGTTCTTCAGCTGGGTGGATTACTGAAGCGTAATGAAGAACAATAAATACAGAACAAATCTTTAACAAATAAACAGCATGAAAAATAGTAAACGCCTACTCGAAAGTAAGAGCAATTTTTATTTATGTACTATGCTAAAAAAACGACGCAAATGTTTGTTGTAGAAATTGTATGATCGTATATATATTATCCATTATTCAACAGAATGATAACTGAGTCCTTGTTCTTATTTCAGTGTAATATGATGAAAAATTATTGGAAAATCAAATAAGCAGCTGTAAGCTAGTCTTTTCATCAGTCTATGTGGAGATTTTAATTGAAAAATATGATACAAGCATAGCAGTTAAGTATAAATAATAGTAAGTTTTAGTCATAAATACATCACTAGGTGACACAATTTGTCTTTGCTGTGCTCATTTTGAAGTTAAGTAAATCTTCATATGATTTCTATTTTATCATTTATAATGAGACTCAACAAAGCCGATCTATTATAGTTTGTATTTAATTGTTCAGCACTCTTCTCATTACATAATCAGTAGTTCTTGCCCAGTAACAAAATTTTACCTGTAAAGTAAGTTTGTTCTGTCAATAGATGCTTCAATTGTTTGAATGTTGGTCGATCAGGAGGTAATTTAGACCAAGTCTTTGTAATAATGTTCCAAAATTTTAAGCTACATTTCGATGGTTGAGGTAATAAAATACCGTTCATAACGTTTTGAATTATCTCTGCATCTTTATCTACTTTTGACCATGGTATTGCACCTCGAGAGTATGCTTCCCACATTAATACTCCCATTGAATACACATCTGATTTTTCTGTATAATCATCAGATTTTGAATTTGGTGTTAGTATTTCTGGTGCAGCATATCGAGTGGGAACAATATCGAGTGTTGTTCGTGCAGATCCTGACGTTTTTGAATAAATTTTGCTTTGTCGACTGAGTCCAAAATCAGTCACTTTAACAATATTGTTTTTTGTATTAGTCTCATCGAAACGAAAAATAAGAACGTTGCGACAAGCTAAATCTCCGTGAACAATGTTATTGTATGCCAAAAATATCATGGCATCAGCAATCTGTAGAAATATTTCGATAAGAATCTTTTCATCGGGTACTGTTTCTCGTTCTTGTAACAATTCATAAAGACTTCCTTCAGGTGCATATTCTTGTAGTATCATGACTGAATTATTTTCGTTATCAGTTTTTTCATCCGATATAAAACCAAACGTGCGAACAATGCGTGGATGACGAGTTAAATTAACATAGAATGATGCTTCTTTTAATGCGCGAGCACCGTCAATTTTTAAAATAATAATTTCTGGTTGATTAGAATTAGTTGGCAACCATTCGGCAAGAAATATCGCTTTTCCGAATGTTTGAAATAGGGGACGACCTCGCTTTTTTTTAATATCGACATTTAATATAAATTGATAATTTTTTTCGATTAATGATGTTTCAAATGCACCAACTAATTTTTTAACCAAATGATTTGGATATAAATGTTCAAGTGACAACGGTTGATCCGTTTTAGGACTTGTACCATTTTTTCGGATCCAGTCTTCGATAGCTTCTCTCTCATATGTGTGGCCATCTTGAGCTAAGACTGGATCACGAAATAATGCCATCGTTAAAGGGCATAATAATGATACAGCTTGTGTTGTCATACTTAAAGAAAAAAGTTTTCAAAATTTTTTTTTTAATTTAGGTGATGATGTAAACGATTATGAATACGTCTATGTTTACTAAATTTATCTAAAACCAAATAAATATTAATGCACTATGCAAATGAAATGGAAAAAAAGTTAATTAACGTTAAGCGCAAATGGAAATTAAATACATATACATATGTTAGCATTCAAGCTCATATTCTCCTATGCTAATCTAGAATTTCACTTTGGACGCGTCCAATATGAGATTCAACATTGGACGAGCGCTATCTCAGGCCGTTCTCGGATTGACCAATCACAATACGTGCAATCTAAGATTCACCCGAAAATTTTAGGCAAATATCAAATTTGCCAAGGATGTGATTATAGGAGTAGGGCGAAGAGAACAATTATTTTTTTATGATTACACAGTGTATTTTGTTGCAAATAAAATTTCATTTGCCATACTTAACTTCTGCCTTAATGTGACATTCTAGTCGATTCAGGATTATCCGTGTGAACCTTTCTATTCGTCACTAGTCTAGGTCTATCTGGGATTCGCCTAACATTTTCAAGGGAATTTTAGGTGAGATGTATAATAATTGATCAATTCAAGAATGGCCTAGATTCATGCCTGTACAATGGCAGATATCATTGGACGCTAACATATATATCACTCGTCTAACTAATTATCGATTCAACAAAAATTCTAACAGTTGAATACAGAATCGGTAATGAAATGTCAATGCCACAGGTATAATACAGGGTTTCAAACCTATCATACTCTACAGAGTACGTTTCAATTATGAATAAATATTTTTATCATGACAGTAAACAATAGAAAACATGTATTATAGCAATGTTTCATATCGAAGTCTTCTCAAACTATTTCGTTGTATAAACCAAAAAAGGAACTCAAAGTTCTTGTTGATCAAACATTTAAGAGAAACTTTGTAAAGATTTACCAGCATTGAAGACCAAGATTTATAGGTCAGTTCAACTTTTTTGAGTTCAACATGATTGTTATGGTAATCTGAACATGTTTTGGTCATATGATGCGCCATGATCCTTTTTCTTCTATTGTTTGAATAATTTAAGTCTAATGAGTCAAAGATTAAATATCTTACATCTTTTCATAATGTGAGATATGCTGTAAGCTGATGAATTAAAACGTTACATACTTCATTGAAAACGTGAGAAAATGATTTTAATATGAGAATACTATAATATGAAGCAAATATTTCAAGTCAATTTATACTTTACTAACAGGTGAAAATCTCAGATGTAAAAGGTTATAAGAAAGCCGTATTTATTGACCTCTTTTTTGATGTTGGAAAGTAACACTTTCCTTTTTTTAGGCGTTTTGATAACAACTATGAGATAAGTAGATAAATATTGTTTTACACATCATGAAAGCCACGAGATTGAGTTAAAGGAGAGGAGACACATTAAATGCTACACCACACATTTTAAAACTCAAATGTTTATACTCCTTAAAAAAATAAACTGTTTTTCTAATGCTCACTTTATCTAACAGCGATAAGATATAGAAATAAGACTTTTAATTTGAAGAGAACATTCTTCTGACGGTAAAAGAAGTAGGTGGTCGTCTATACATATGAGCAGCTCACATTTACAAATAATATTAATCAATCATTGGAGATTAAGTAGAATTATAAAATGTACAAAAAATCCTTAACATGCGCACTTGTCAATATCATCTTGAGCCACACAGTATCAAAATTGACAGCAAGATCATTTAGTACAATATCATCGACAGTAATAAATAAATCAACGAAATGTACTGTATGACCAAGAACATATCAGAATGACAGATTCTTCACTTGTTATTATTACATTTATAGAAGTGACTATTTTTGAATGCATCAGAATTGAACAAAAGATTTAACTAAAATGCATCGAAAATAAATCAGAAAAAACATGAATCCAAGATACAATTTAGTCTTTGTATCTGAGTTTCAGCAAATGAAGAAACAATTCACGAGAAGATTAAAAGAATTAAAATAAATCGAGGAATTGAAACTTAAATCGAACTCTTTTTTTAGTTCGATTATTTTGTTCGTAGTCTATTCAATGACTTCAAAAGAAGTTTACAATCAATCTTCAAAAGTAAGCATGCTTTCAATCGTAGAAATTTCTCTGAAAACTCAATTCTCACTAGTAAGGTAAATTTAAAACGATATGAATACCACACTGTTAATGATGTGTTATGATAAAAAAAAATACGCTAGAGAATGATCCTCATGCTTCAATTTCAAAGCGATCACCCAAAACATCATAAACTACCACTATGTGTGAAAAATGTTTTTCTTTTCAAGCGTATTTATACTGAAAAATACTTAGGACAATCGCGGGTGTGTTTATCCTTTTGACTTCCATATATATGCACATTTATACACAAAAGATCTTAATAATCTCATGGTAACAATAAAAATAGGAATTCAAGTAGATTTCAAAAACAACAATGTATACTTTTTTAGAATTGAAGAAAAACCTAGTTTCTATATTGTAATAAAAAGTGTTGATAAACATCGTCTTTGACTATTAAAACTTATTAGTCTTCTCTTTGAAATAACTAAAGTTTTTGATTCAGTTTGTTCAGTAGTTAAATTATATGCATTTGTGAAGTGATCAGGACTTTTCACACATCCTGTATATGTATTATGAACATATATCATCATAGCTTTAGCTACAAGTAGGTAGAAGTAAGATCAAATAATGTGTTTTTCAATGCATTTATAATTGATTTTATTGAGTAAAGTAAACTTAGATTGTCTTCAAGACAATAATTATTGAAAGAAGTGAAATAAAATAAATATTCATATATAATGAAAAATAGATTGAAAAAATGCAAATATTTAGTATTATTAAACGAATACAATATTTATACGAAACAAAAACGAAAGCATTATGTCAAATGAAGAAGTGATTTCATCAATGGATTAACATGAGTTAAATCAACATTGCTCTTAATGTATTGTCGAAAATCTCTTGAAATTTTTTGAATTTTTAATAATTGCTGAATAATATGTGTCATTTTGATTATAACTACTTCAAATGATGATTGTTCCATTAAATAACGAAATAGTAAATCAGTATATTTTGATTGAGCATAAAATACACGTTTTTCATCATTTAAAAGTGGTTCTTGATCATCATTAGCTGATAAACCTTTTGAAAAAATCATAATAAGCATAAGTAATTGAGTTATAATAGGATCTTTGTTAACTATACTAGTAAGAGCATGAAAAATAGACATAGCAATTCGATTAAATTCATAACCATAACAAAGAATAAATAAACTTTTACAATACTGAGCAAAAGCTTCCTCACTTGGTGAAACAGGTTCACCTGTATCAACATCATAGAATATTTCACGTGCTGAATCAAAATTTAATGAGTAACGTATAACAAAAAGCAATGTTAAGTTATACTTAACAAGTATTAAACGATCGTCGTCATCAAGTTGTGCGAATTCGGGTATTTCTCGAAGAAAATTAATCAATTTAATTGCAATAAAATTTTGTATATCAATTGTATTCATAAATGTTGACATTTTATCCGATGCTAATTCCAAGGAAATAACAGATGAAGCTGATGGTGTTGATTGAGATGCAGAAAAATAAGCGTTTTGAATGTGTGATAAACATGAACGATCAGCTTCGGTAAGAAACGTAGATGAATGTGAACGAGTATTATCAAGCTAAAGAAAATTTATCTTAAAATTAAACAAATATCAATTTTTCTCTTACTAATGCATTATTTTGATTTATTGTTATAGGCTCTATGATATTCTCACTTTTTATATTATTATTAATTACTGCAGAACTTAATCGACGATTTTCTTCCAAACGTTGTTTTTTTAATTGTTTTTCTTCTGGAGTTAAAATAAAATCTTTACGCATACCTAAACATTTCAAATTTTATATTTTTTTTCAATAATATACAAATATATATTAAAGCTAATCAAGAAAACCTTTCTTCACATATACGATTTTTTTTCTTTCTATATCAATAGATGAATTGTTTTGAACTTAATAAATTGCAAGTTACAAGTCTAGGTAGATTTGTAATAGTTCCAGTGGGGTCGAATCGGGCTGTCTTCGTCAGATTTTTATCCATGGAAAAAAATTTTTACAGATATTCCTTTTTTTTTTCTCTTATACAATATATTGAGAACAAGTTTAAGCAATCTTATCAAAATGTTCATACAGTATTTTTTTTGCAAAAAACTATCAATTTATTTGTGTCATTGAAATATATTTCATTTCGTAAAAAATTATGTTATTTGAACCACATTTCTCAACTAATTTGATCGATATTTCCTTCGAAGAGAAGCAATAAATTCTTCTGTAAAAACCTAAATGAAAAAGAATTTAAAGATTGAAATTGAATCATCAGTTGTTCAGCAAATAACTCTTTTATTCCATGAGAAAAACATCACATATTCGCATTTTGGAAACATGATATGTTCTCCTAACGATTTGTGCAAAATTGGACAAAAAAGGAACACTAAATTTTACTTCGAACCACTTTTATGAATCGATTCGAAAATTTATCTAGAGCGAAGTGACTAAAAACTACCAACTCATGGAGCATTTAATATTTATGATTGATGAAATCACTATTTACATTTGAATTATCATTTTATTCTTAACTCATTTCAATTCAGAACATCAAGTTTGATTGATCCTTCAAAACTGAATGTTCCTTGCAAAACCATTGCAAAAATTGCTATTATAGATGAAGTAAAACTTTATTTTGAGTGACATCGATTAGCACAACGTCCAGCTATGTGATGAATTCGTTTAGTAATTTTTTAAATCAGCTACTAGCTGATTACGACATCATTGAGAAAATGTTCCTTCGAAGGAACATTCAGTCATAACAATATTCTAAGAACTATGGCAAGGTAGAATCAGAGACTGGCAGCAGGGCTCCTAAATCGTCCAAAATTCTCGGTTGACGAAAAACTTCGTTTTGCATGTGGTGGTGCTACTGATTCGATTCCAATTCTGAATGCTTCACTATAGACCTGGCTCTACTTCTAGGTGAGCATTCAGTAACTATTTTACTGCCGCGTTTAGACAACTAGCAAAATTATGAGATGATTCTTTTGTTTTTCATAAGGTGAATTTCGTGATACTTCCTCGGAAAAAAATTATCTTTTGTACAACTCACGTATTTTTGAAGAAAACAATGAGTTTACATATAAATAGAAGTTTTTGCGGCTTTTCTCTTCAGATCATAGCAATCAGAAACGTATGTTAGTAATAACAATACTTAGATCATTCTGAAACTTTCTGGAATCTTGTCAATCAGTAGAATGATGGTTTTATTAATCTAACAGAGTCAGAATAAGTTGGACATAGAAAAGTATGAATTACTGCAATTCTCAGTTTAGACAAAACTCAATAGTACATGTTAAAGTTCTTCGAGAAAAAGGATCTATTGTTCAGAATTGTACCTTATGTCGCTCAAGCTACGGTTCTTCTGCTTGATTCAATTCTTTTATATCTTAGTGTATGAATGATTCTAAACTCTTAGTAAAATGTTAAAGTGTAGCACTATCTGACACTATATAGCCTGGCGTATAAAAATCGACTTTTTAAGGTTGAAATTGATTATGCGAACTTGATAAAAAAGAAGGGAGTAAACCGTCGACTTTGATGAAAATTTGAGGATATGGATGCTGAGTGATTACATCAATGTGTATAGCAAGCTGATACGATGATTCAACTAAGGAAACGAAAAATAAATTGATAGAATAGTAAATCTAAATGCAAATATTTTCGAAATGATAAAATTTCAGAGCCCGGACATGAACTACAAAAATTCTTATTATTTTGATTTATTCATTTATTTAACACTTTTTAAAATCAATTATTTTCATCTCTCTAACAATATGCTATTAAGAAGATCATAACGACTGTCTAGAAACTTAATGTTTTTTTTATCATCAAAAAAACTACCCTTGTCTTGAAAGGATTAAATATGAACATGTTTTTTGTTTTTCCATACTTTTTAATTTCCAGTTCTTTCTGTGTATTAAAAAAATCTTTGATATTCATCAAAATATAGTCTAAAACACACAGGCTACAACAGCAAATATTTGCAATACCTTCTCGAAAACATTTAAGTAATCGGCAACGTTGACATTTATATTTAATATCATATCGAATATTACATCGAACTTCAAAGACATTATCATTATAGTTGATACATTTTGTTTTTTCCTATAATCATAATATATATGTTAATTATTAAATAAAATCAGATGAAAAAAAACTATTTACAATTGGATGAAAAGCATTTCGACGAAAAAATGCTAAAATAAAATAAATATTTCTCTAGGAAAAAAAAAATATTAAGTCACAAACCTTTGCAAGATTCACATGATATTTGATCAAAATTATAACCAATAGCTTGACCTTCACAAATAACACATGTTAAATCAGCTTTACGCTTTTTTGTATTTGTATTTTTCGAAACATCGATTGATGGTATTTGTTGTTCCTAAAAATCAAACAAACTATTATATAGTTGAAACATATTTTAATAAAAATTATACCAATTGAGATAAAGATCGTTTAGGAATTTCATTATTAATTTGATATCCATTCATTAGTTTTGTATTACTTAAATTAACAACAATTGCTTCAACATTTTTTGAATTCAAACATGAAAGTATATTATGATTATCATCATCAATTGATGTGATAAATACCATTTTTTTTGAATTTTTATTTTCTGCTTGTTCTCCATTATTATTATTATTATTTGCCATTTTATTTTTGTTTAAAAACCAATAATAAAGTACGACAAGTGCATTTATATATTGGCTACACGTAGATTACTATGACAGGTCAATAATAAAATGATCTTCAACGATGAAACAAAAGAAAAGGAAAAATCTCTCATCCGTAAATATTTAGTCGTTGTTTTTCTTCTTCTTTCGCTTTTTTTTCTCACCTTCATTCATTATTAAAATCGAGCAATATTTTGTACAAGAGCGTGTCTCTAAATAACGCATTTTTCATGTGATTGATAGAAAAAAGAAAGACGAATAGGAATGTGTACTTTGCAATAGTCTATGTTTTTCTAATAAATAATCAGAGAAATTTATTTCAATTGATAAATATTCGTTCTTGTGACTAATTAGACAAAGAAACATTTGAAAAAAATTTTGTATCTATAATCGAAGTATAGTATGAATGAATAACTGTGAATGATTGGGAAAATTTTTTGGCAAGCTACAGAATCTAAACATGTTTATTAAAGCGTGAGATTCTAGAAAATCATTGTCGACAAGATAATTTGTTCAGTTCGGAATTTGGAAGAAAAAAAAACATTGTACAAAGTTTCTACAATCTATTAAGCCTGCTCGCAATGGAGAAGATTTCTTGGAAGGAATAATACGTCAAGCATGATAAAAGAACTTCCTCTCCGTTAATTAATTGATTTTTCAAAAAAATTGCAAGTATATTTACATAAAAACTATGTCTAGTTTACAGGATTTTGAGCTAAAAGTTTTAAATAACTGAGGTGAGCGTGATTTCTGAATCTTTAAAGTCCTAAACATGTCATCCTACGTCTTCAATATCATTTTAGTTTTCTAAAAAAACTCTTTTTAATTCAAAAATTATGGAAATAAATGACGAGGAAGAACTTCGTCGATATACATTAAATAAAACAGTTCCTTCTTTTTTTCTGGTTCTCTTGTCATGATCTACTCTCTAATCTGAATAGACATGTAATGTTTTTCTTTAGTTCTATCATCTGTCTATTACTTATGTTATGTATACTATGATGAGGAGGAAAAAAGTGAAAATTTCTTACTTCAAAAGTATATCAAGGATATCGTCTCGAATTTCTTTGATATTTCAGGTCTACTATCAAGCAGAGAACATGTTCACTTTAATAATCGCACCTTCAATCACATGCAGTGTTATATGTGTAAACTGCATCAATTTGTGCGAAGATATCAGTAAAGTAATAATGAACTAAATGAGCTTAAATAATTATGGTTTAGAAGTTCTCAACGATAACTTTTTCGTACCTTTAGAATGCGATGAAATATGCAATTAGATTTTTTGACCATGATGAAGTACACACCCTAATTTGAAAAGTCTTTCAGTTAAAATCATTTAGACGACATAAGAAAATAAAATATTTGAACTTAATTTTACATTAATATAGATGCAGATATCCACAACAGTTTTCTTCATTTTACAGCAAATCAAACGGTAACTCTCTAAAATGAATACTTCCATGTAGTAAACATTTTTTAATGGCTTCCATGATGTTCACTAGAGAGAGGTTTTACTGTTATTTTTCTTTTTATAAATCTATATGTGTGTTCAGTTTGTTCGTTTTTTTAAATTTTTTTTCGAATATAATAGTTAAAAAGATCAATCAACCTTTTTTTTATTTTTACATATTAGAAAATTTTTGCAGAATTTTTTTTCTTTCAATGACAGATTCTGCATTTCTGCTCGCTTGGTTTCACAGCTTTAAGCGAATACAATGAAATTAGTCTCATAATCATAGAAAGTTCTCATTTGACATGATTTTTTTTTGTAAGATTAAATATATATATTTATGGAAGTATCATTGAAGATTTCGATAATTGACTTTAAGCTTATTAACACAACTGATCTTTGTAAATAAAAACCTCGTAATAGACTAATGACATATGTTGAAAGTATTTTTGGAATTATCTTTCATCAACAACATCAATATCGTGGTTACAACAATTAGGAACTTTTTTTATTCATTAAATTTTGTTTAATACGATCAATTAAAGAAATATAACCAATATATCAAGTGATAATAGATATTGACTTTTAAGGTATATTGCATAAAAATAAATGTAAATTCTTTGAAACAGAAATATTTCCAATAAAAAATCTCCATCAACAACAGCTTGATGCAATAAATTAGTTTCATAACCATATTTTTTATGTATTCTAGAGGCAATTAGTCAAATATTCTCAATAAGAAGAGACAAATATGCAAAGAGAACATCAACATTGAATCAACAATATTATATCAAGAATTTCCTAAAAGAGTTTAGCAGCACAACTAGAAAACAAAGATCATTAGCTAATGATTAAAACATCAAAACCATTAGTAGAACATTCTACAATACCATACTGATAAAACTTGAATTATCAGGACAAGATATTATTGACTTTTTTTTACGTTACGCTGATTATATAGTTTAAATCTAACTAGTAATATGGATAGCCAATAATCTTTTCTAAAAAACAAATCAAACTGAGTAGTTCTCAGATCACAAGAGACGTTATAAGAGTCCGTTTTGTACCTTCTGGGATCAACAACCCCCTATATTCAATTTTTTCTAGAAAATTTACTCACATAGTCAATCGATAAAATCTTAACATTAGTACCTTTTACAAAAAACTTTATTAGCTCCTTAAATCACAATCTAAATTCGAGTTGGGTATTCAATATCACAGAAGAATTTGGACAATACTTTGTTTTTCTTATTATCTTATATCAAAACGTACCAAAACTATTTTCTAACCATTTTATTCAACAGGTTCAGTATTCTATAGTTGTTATGTATTCTATCTCATTGATCAATTTCATTAATAGAACAGTAATTCATTACTGCATGACACATAGCAATTAGGATGGTGATCTTTTAACCAAAGATGTTTTACAATCATACTTTGAAGACAAATCTGGAAACAAATCGATCACGTCTAGATAACTATAATTACTAGTCAAAGTACGTGCTAGAGCAAATGCTTGATTAATTTTATACCTCGAAATTTTATTTGCAAGTGTACACAGACCTAACAAGCACACTTGTAAACGACTGTAAGTAGTCCTATTATATAGCTCCATATTCTATTTGTATTTCTTCGTAAACAATACTTCGTCTTGGGTACTGACTTATAGTTGACCAAAAGTTCTGACAATATTAAATAGAAATATAAGAATAAAAAGATATTTGTAATTAAATTTTATAGAATTTTAGAAAGTCTTCTTTTTTTTAATTATATTGAAAATCACATGAGCCAAAAATCATACGATGCAAGATATAGTCAAAACGATGAATGCAGCATTATATTGATAACTTCTTGTGTTAAGTAATGAATAACATAAGGATATATCTGATGTCAAGCTTTATCGTAAAGTAATTTTATAACTTTTGCATCTGAGGACTAACTTTACGTTAATATTTCATTGACAACAGGCTTAAGACAATATTCAACGTAATAGCTGTGATCTATAATTTTGCCTCTATCTAAAATATATATATGCAGGATAGAACCATGTGTTTTAGAAAATACAGAAAACAAAGTTTTTTTTTTGTTCATATCTATTTCAACAAACAATAATTCATGTTTCATCATTTGTAATAAGTTTACGTAAACTACTCTATGATTCATCACGAAAATTTTGACGATGAATTGTAACTCAATTTTGCTTTTGTTCATCATTGAGTTGATGAGGTACCCAACATGATTTAACTTTTCTCATCTTTAGATAATCATGGATGATTCGTTCTATTGTACCACGAGAGAGAGCAGTCTTAGCTATAATATCATTATAAGTTGAATGTGGATCATTGTTAATAACCTGTCGTACTAGTTCAATATTTACATCTGTTAACTTGGAAATTGGACGACCAAATTGAGAATCATCATTAATATTTTCTCTTCCTTCATGAAAATGCTTTGCCCATCTTGCAACTGTGGCATATGACGGTGCATTAGATCCTAATGCAGTTGTAAGTTCTTTGTGAATTGTCTCTGCATTTATTCCTAAAAAAGTTCGAATTTTAATATAGCTTCGATGAAATTCATTATCCATTTTTCAAATTTTTTGTCTTCGAATCAATTTTTTATCTGAAAGAATATTAGAAACTCAATCAAAAATAGATTTATTACATATATATCATTATAGACAAAATAGTCTATTGTTTATTTATGCGATAAAGTCTTTTATGTGATCTAGTTTATAAAAATGCATTTAACATTATCAGAACTGTAAGTATATTGAAACTATTCATGATGAAGTTTTTTCTTTTTTTTGACACAAGAGTCATTATCATAATAAAAAAAAAAGGGGGGCAATGTATAGTTTATTTAATAAACTAATATAAAATCATTAATCCAAATATAACGAGAAAAAAGTAAATATAAATAACGAAACCAAACAAGTTGTGATCTATGTTCGAACATAGCTTGATGTGGTGTGAAACAATCTTTTACTGGTAAAACATATATTTTCATGTTTGTAGATTTTCTTTTTAAATAAATTCGAAATAATTCTATGAAAGTAAAATATTTTCTATAGATAGGTAATGATTGAAGTGAAAGAAAATGTATTTGACTTGTTTGAGATAATTTTAATAGAGCATAATAAATAGCTGAATGATTTTTATGACCACTTATACCATAATAATCAAATGAAATTATTGTTGAAATATTCCATTGATGTATTGAGTGTTTAACATGACCTAATATTGCATCAGAAGACCATGAAACTGATTGACTATCTTTTAAATTAATGTGATCATCAATTATTTTATAATCATTAATACGAAGTTTAATACATGAACGACGTAATTCATCAGATCGTTGATTATTTCCATTTGAAAGACATAATATATATTTATTGGAATGAATAGATAATAAAATAGGTGAAAAAAATAAACATTCATCATCTGGATGTGCTATAACTAAAAGATAATTTCCATTATATTCATTATTATTTGTTGAAGATATTAAACGAATTAAAATAAATGGAGATATAAGTAATATGAATAAAATGAAAAATATTAATAAGATTAATAACATCTACAATAAGAAAGGGAAACGATTTGTTTTTTATTATTTACTTTTCTAAGGAAAAACGGAACATTTTTTTTTTCTTAAATTCAACAAAAGAAAAATACAAAGTCTATTTCTTTTGTGGATTTGTTTCGGGTTTTGATGATGGTTGAGGAAGACGATATTTAGTCATTGATGATTCAATATCATAATAACTAAATGTTGTATAATTATACATATCAGCAGCATAATATTTTACATCAGTTTGTCCTTTACTTGGTGATTTATCTTTAAAGAAAACAATACTAATTGATCGTATAATAATGAAAAGAATTTACTTTGACTTGATGAGGTCTCATTTGTTGATATAGAAGCAGAACGACTAAGAACAGGAACAAACTAAAATACTAGATAATATTTTCCATTGAATAAATTAATAATACGTACTCGATAAAAGTAAATACGACTTAACATCGATGAAGAACGAAAGATTTGATTAGAAATCATCTAAAATATATATATATACTCTAGATAATTCAAGTTATGACTCAATGCCATTTAATTTATCGATACAAACATATCAACATATTGTTTATGCAGTTATAAATAAATAGTAAGTATTTTCTTTTCATCGAACTCTTTTACCCTTGATATTCTGAAAACATGTTTATGTATATTAGATATGTAATAAAAACGATTTCGTATTTAGAGATTTATTATCGATATTTGTTTTTCAATAAATTTACAATGAAATAAAAGAGAAAAAGTTCACAAGTTCAATATATCTCACAGTGGTTATAGAGTGCAGAAAAAGAGAGCATTCATTTTGACATAAATGTCATTAGAAAGATTAAATATTACAAAATGAAAATAAATAGGAAAATAATTTTTGACTTTTTCTTTTTTATTCTATTGTTAATACGACGTGTTGCACATAAATTATAATCCTCATGTTGATTGGTATAATCAACACACATCACAGTACTGTGTGAGTATGAAAGAACATAATTATAGTGTCAACGCGATTTTTTTACATATAGAAAATTCGCTACAAATAAATTCAAGTTATACGTTATTAGAAATAAATAAATAAAATTACTGACGCCATCTATTATCAGAACATGTATATATATACACATTTGTTAATTTACTTAATTCTTCTATTTAATGAATAAATTTTCTTTAGAAAACCTTTAAAAAAAATAAAAACACTTCATTTGATTAAAGTCGCAAAAATATACATGAAGGTTATTTGTATCTGTTAATGGCGTTCTCAGTCAGCCGAAAAATCATCAAGACATCTATCTAGACAACAAATGATTATCCGAAACAAAGAATATTGATAAAAAAAAAGCAGAAAAAAAAAAGAAATTTGTTTATTTTTTTTTCTTTTAGTTTATCTAATGAAATCTTTTATGTCAATCAATTATCGTCAATGTTATTATTAAATATTTAAGTTATGAAAATTATTAAACAATCAATACATAGGAAAAACAATTCTTTATAGAGAATGAATTAAATAAAAACAAAACGAAAGAAATTAGAGAATTAATTAGCAATTTGTTTTTTTTTTTGTTTTAATTTGTGTCTATTAATTATATTATAACAAAGAATTAAAATAATCATGGCAGATCTAGAAGCTGTATTAGCCGATGTTTCCTATTTAATGGCAATGGAAAAATCCAAATCTACACCAGCCGCTTCAGCTAGTAAAAAAATTGTTTTACCCGATCGAACGTAAATTTATTTTCATTAAAAAAAATAATAAAATATTCTTTATATTTATATTTCTTTTTTTGATACATTTTTTAATAGAGTACGAAGTGTTACACATAAACATTTACAAAAAATGTATGAAAATACATTTGACAAAATATTTAATCAACAAATCGGTATGTCATTTTGATATTTGAATTTCTTTTGTTTGGTTTTTATACAAATCTGTAAAGATCAACAAAAAAAAAAAACATATTTTTATTTTCCTTATCATTACGAGAATATTATTTGATGAAAAAAATATGTTATGCGATCGGTCAATATAAGAACTAATTCTTTCTTTTTTTTTCTGTTTGTCTAATTTAATTCTGTTATATTTTTACAGAAAGAAAAAAAAAAGCTAAGACAAAAGTAAAATTGATAATTGTATAATATTGATAGATTATTTGTTCTTTCTTCTCACTTTGTTTAGTAAATGAATCTTTCGTATAGTAAAACGAGAGATAGAGAGAGAGACATTGATCGTGTTTTTTGTTTTGTTCTATTCTCGAAAATAGTACTTTCTCTTTTTTTTTATAAGTGAAGAGATCATAAAAGTATCATCTATTGTAAACCCCTCTGGTCTTCATTTCTTTCAGGTGGTAATAGTGTTGTTGATAATGATTTTTTTTTTTTGTTCTCTAAACTCACACGCGTCAAATCCCTTAGGGGAATTATTTTGTGAGTGTTAAATGGTTGACACGCGAAGAGTTTAGAAGATCAACTGAAAAATAAAAGATTATTATTATTTTGTTTAGGATTTCTTTTGTTCAAAGAATATTGTTCAACATTATGTGATGAACCTGTGCCTCAATTAAAATTCTACGAAGAGGTATTTGAAATTTAAAATAAATTAAAATGAAATTTTTTTTTTTTACATTTAAAAAAAAAAAACTAAATGAATAGATAAAACGATTTGAAAAACTTGAAACCGATGAAGAACGATGGAAAGTTGGAAAAGAAATTTATGATCAATTTATAATGAAAGAATTACTTTCGAATTCTCATGTAAATTTAGTCATTTTTGTATATTTAAAATATTTATTTTTTGTTTATTTAAAGACATATTCTGAACGAGCTATTGATAGTGTTAAAAAACATTTATCAAAATATAATCCAAATAATCCAAAAAATAGTTTACCATCAACATTATTTGAACCATATAAAAAAGAAATATGTGATTTATTACGTGGAAGACTTTTTGATAAATTTATTGAATCAGAAAAATATACAAGATTTTGTCAATGGAAAAATTTTGAACTTAATATTCAGGTCTATATTAATTAATCAAATTTTATTTTATGAATAAATAAAAAAGAAAAAAATTTTTTTTTTTTTTTAGTTAACAATGAATGATTTTAGTGTACACAGAATTATTGGTCGTGGTGGTTTTGGTGAAGTATATGGTTGTAGAAAAGCAGATACAGGAAAAATGTAAATTAATATTTATTTTAATTAATAATATTTTAACTTTATTTATTTCCGCATATATATATTTGAAAGGTATGCAATGAAATGTCTTGATAAAAAACGTATTAAAATGAAACAAGGTGAAACATTAGCATTGAATGAACGTATTATGCTTTCACTTGTCAGCACAGGAGTATGTTTATTTATTTTATTTGAATATATATTTTCAATAATTTGTTTTTATAGGAAGAAGGTTGTCCATTTATTGTCTGTATGACCTATGCATTTCATACAACAGATAAACTCTGTTTTATTCTTGATCTTATGAATGGTAAAAATTATTTAAAAAAAAAAAAGAAACAACTTTTATATTAATTTTATAAATTTAAGGTGGTGATCTTCATTATCATTTATCTCAACATGGAGTTTTTTCAGAAAAAGAAGTAAAATTTTATGCAGCTGAAATTATTTTAGGATTAGAACATATGCATCTTAGATCAATTGTTTATCGTGATCTTAAAGTAAGATTTAAGTTCTTAGTTTTTTTTTTGGTTTAATTTTATTAAATAAAATAGCCAGCAAATATTTTACTTGATGAACATGGTCATGTTCGTATATCAGATTTGGGTTTAGCTTGTGATTTTTCAAAGAAAAAACCACATGCAAGTGTTGGTACACATGGTTATATGGCACCAGAAGTTTTAGCTAAAGGTGTTGCTTATGATTCAAGTGCGGATTGGTTTTCATTCGGTTGTATGCTTTATAAATTACTCAAAGGGTATGTTTTACATATATCATTAAAAAACATATTCCGGTTTTTTTTTTTTTTTCATTTCTTTGAAATATATTATAAACATAAGAAAAGAAAGAAAA